GTGCTGTCATTCTACAAGAAAACTTACCAGTAGCCTATGCCAGTAGATCATTGACAGACACAGCAAAAATTATGCTCAAATTGAAAAGGAAACATTGGCTATTAGTTTTGCATGTAATCGATTTAGACAATATATTTTTGGCAAAACAGTCACTGTAGAAAGCGACCATAAACCACTCGAAGCGATATTTAATAAACCTCTTAACGAACGTCCTCCAAGATTGCTTAGAATGAGACTGTCATTGCAAAATTTTGACATTATAATACGATACAAACCCGGTAAAGAATTGTGGGGTGCAGAATGTTCTAGCGAGCCAGGTAGTTGGCCGGGGAAATGTTTTACGACAGGGTTAATGGTCAACATCTGGCTTGCAGACGTTTTGGCGACGTTACCCCAACCTTGGATACTTTTTAGAAAGTAAAGGGGAAAAAGCCGAGAAAACCCATCGGGGTACAAGCGGCCGAGAGGACATTGCGTGCGAGAGCGTGGCAGCGAGAGTATCGAGCTTATATTATATATCCAAATTAATGCTAGGGATCAATTTTGATCTACATGAAAATCCTTTAATTAGAAACATCACTAAATTCAATATCCACACGATTCCATACAGGATCAAAGTCAAATTTCCGCTAATGGAGAGATTAAACGTGATACATGAGCGGTCGCTTTGACCTCGCTGTCGCGAGCCTTCTAGGACCCCTTTCTTTTTCACTACTTGGTGGGCCACGAGCTGTGCTTGGGAGTACGTCCTTGGTGGAAGTTGTTCCCTGACCAAAGTAAATCTCACTTTCAACTCTAAAAAACTTTTTCACGATGAACTCCCTGTTCTTACCCGGATTCTGCCCATCCGAGGTATATCTATTGTTTTTTCTTAAAATCATAGTCATGAGTGTTTTTTTGAAAATTTTCCGCTTGTATCTCACACCATGTTACATATAGTAAGTTACATCAGGTTGCTAATAACATTCACGCCGAGGTGTGGTTGTCGAGTTATTAACAAAAATTACCAACCAACCAGAGCGTTCGTATACAAGGCGGACAGGAGCGTGATAACCGCCTCGTGCGTTTCCCATTTTTTATGCTTTACCTACTGTGTAATTTATAAAATTGTTAGTTATCATTGAATATGTTGCATTTATTCAGTGAACATAACAAACGACTAACTGTTTTCTTTTCTCTGACATTTAATCAATTTCTTAGTTACTCTTGCATGTAAGTTTTGTTTTAATCCTATGTTTTCGTCACGAGCGTGGCATACGGGCCGCGGCAACGCACGAGGCGGTTATCGCGCTCCTGAGAATCAACAATCCTGAATCACATGATATAAACACTTTGCGCACTTCACTTCATTCGCCAAGGATGTAGAGAAGAATGGTGATAGGAAAAAATGGTTCACAGAACCAATAGAATTCTACATCCTTGGCGAATGACGTGAGGACAACAGACTGTTTACATTATGTACTCAAGTACCTGAGAAAGAATGGTGGAATGAGAGAAAAAAATGGTTCATAGAACCAATGAGAAGCGAAGGCGATACTCCAAACAGTATGTTCTCTATACACAAAATCTATTGGTTCCCAAAAGCTAAAACATTATTTATTAACATCATGCAAATTACAATATACGTATATTTACTTCGCATCAATGATTCGTATTATCATATTCTTATTCGCATTATAATTTGCCTCGGCGTTCTTTTTCTCGGCTGAAACAGTTATTAACTAACAATCTACTACAAGGGACTGTCGGAGGGAATCGCAGGGTAGGCTTTCCTTGGTTTCGCTCCGAAACTGTCGCTGTCCGATCACGAAGCGACTAGTCGAACCCAAACAGCGGGTGGTCAGTCTGCAGATTCGAAGTCCTTTTCGACCGGGGGCCCATGACCCTTCTGCTTTTACACGCTTTTCCCTATACTCTATCCTACACATACAGCCCTGATTTCGCTCGTTTTCGAGCTGTCGCATCCGACAGTTAATGCATGGCTTTCGTATAGTGGGAATACTTCTTAACTCGAACGCCTGTTAGCTCGCGGTGCGCTACAGGTCACGGGTTGTTGCACTATCAACCTACTGCAGGTCCAATACGAAGGCGCGGTTCCACGACCAGCCCGGTCCGCCAACAATTCGGACGATTGCGACATGCGGAGCGTCTGGAAATTTGGGCATGTCAAACTATGGACGTGCCGCTTTCTCGAAGCTGTGAAACAGCGATAATACCGAATGCGAAAGAGAATCTTTCGTTCGGTAGCAACGAAGGAAGGGAATTTGTTGCGTGACTCTGGCTCTGATGAGGAATCTCGAAATCAGAAAGCTAATCTAAGTCTTATACGATGCGTACTCCTAGACAGTCAACTGCCGACAAGACCGATGTTATGACTCTAGCTCACCAGGAAGACGAGATTGCCCACTAAGCGGCGAAATCGACGAATATTCTTTCCCGTTTTAGTAAATGCTCTTCCTTCTTTGTTGTATGACATAAATTTCCGAGAATTCGGACACAAATACTGGTACACGTGTACTGGCGTCTACCGAACCGGCTAGACAGGCGGTGTTGATAATTTTTTCTATTCGCGGTGACTCAGCCAGCTAGCAAAACGTTACGCCGTTTCTTATAGCCGGCGACTTTTTCATACGCGAAATAAAAGAATTCCTAATGACCGAGCGATGCTCTTAAACCGTTTTTTAATAAATTTAATTGATCTTCAAACATAAAGTCTTGATGGTCTCACATTACCTGCTCATTGTTAAAATATTTTTAAACATTTGAAAAATACTGTTTAGACAATGAACTCTGCTCAATAAACAGTAAATGTAAGAAAAAAAAAATACATACAGGGTGTTCCGGAAAGATTGTTAGAGCCGAAAATGGCAGATGGGGAGGAGCATTGTGAACAACAATTTCCTTTGGCAAAAGACGAAATAGGGCTTGGTTAACGAGTTATTAACGAAAAACACGGACCAATCAGAGCGCTCGGTTGAGGCGGTCTCCGTTTCGGGAACGCTGGCTCGGAGTCAGGCGGCCGGCTTTTCTCGCGTTTGAACAAGCGCTCCGCTCAGTACGAAGCGTTTTAAGAAAATGACGAATAACAAACTACATGAATAACAATGCAAGGAAATTGTTGTTCGTTCGTTATTATGAATAACAATTAATACACTCAATCGTTATTCACGTGGAATGGATAGGATAGATTGTTGATAATTGATGGATGATGATAGGATAAATGAGGAATTAACAAGTCGCATCGAGTATTGAATTAAACAGAAAATGTAAAAACTGTAGAGATTTAGACTTACCCATTCATTCGTAAGTGCACCTGCTAACGATGGGCCACGGTCAATGGGTCAGCGTCTTTTCCGTTCGCAGGTAGCCGATCTTCTGTTCAGGGAAGGAACCCCGCAATCCACCGCACGATCATTGTCACTCTTAAAAATTTTAACACACTAAGATTGTTGCTCCTAAAGGGCGCAGGGCGAAGGGCGCGACTCGATCGGGATGACGCTCTTTTTATCGGAATCGGCGGATAACCATCTTCGCGTTAGGCGAATACTCGGATTATTTCGTAATACTCTGTTCGATTTTTCGGGATCCGTCATTGAGTTGAGGTGCACGACTCGATACCTACTGAACCGACTCTCACAACTTTCCTTCGTGAGAATTTTCCCCACTCGATGGCCAAATTCGTTAGTGAAAATGTTTTTAGCATCCCTGACAGAAACCCGACCTTCGATTCCTTGTCATATTTACAACATTCCCCAGGTGTTAAACACTCGGTACCTCCACGACTTGCAGCCCGCAAAGCCGTAGACACGTTGTACGCAGGTAAAAGCCGTGTCATAATTCTTAGGGAAGAATTTTCGCCAGCTTATTATTTTCGATTTCCCTTAAAAACACGTGTTCGATAATAAAAAGTACCTTTGACTGGTTGAACGCAGTAAAAGATGTCCTTCTACTTTTTTTACCACTGGCGAAAGTTCTTCCGTACGGATTATGGCAGGGTTTTACACGCGAACCTACTATAAAAAAGTACGCAGCGATTACTGATCTCCAGTCTTCGCCACTACGCTGCAGCCGCCGTTGGAAACGCGTCTTTCGTGTCCGTACTTGAGCATGAGACATATATAGTTTTTGATTTTTTTCACATTGACGCATCAATCCTAAAAATCTGAAAAAATTCATGAACAATCCTTGCGATGATACAAATCNGGCATGTCCAACTACACTACGAACATGTCAAAATTTTCTCAGATTTTTCGCAAGGCGTTAAGTAAAGGAAACCTCAAAAAACTGATTTTTAGAATTTTCCCGATTACTACCCCCTGGTTGAGATATAGGGCTAAAAATTGGAGTGAATGTTCTTTTTTTGATAAGCTATCGAATGGCGCAAAAGGCGCTTCATTCGGCTCAAGGGCACATTTGACCCCCTTATCCAGCTAGGTCCTTTGACAGTAAACTCTCAAAATTGGGAGTAAAACTTCCAAAATTGGGAGTTTTTTCCGTAAGGTCTTGTTCTTTGTCATAGAAAAAGCAATAAATCTTGTAGCCTCTCAAGTGGTATTCGGAGTCAAGTAGATCGACGAGAAATCTCGAAAAGAACCTAGAATATGATGCATGTGTCGTCATGCAATTCGTTCCGCTTGAACAATTGTGTTACTCTGTCATAATTTGATGTCTAATGGTGCGTACAGACTGCTGTTCGCGAACTAGTTCGCGGTGCAGAGTTCAGAAACGCGTCCACATCAGCGAACATCTCGCCAACACTGCTCGTGAATATTTCATCATTACTGTAAAATATTTCTGCATAAACTTAACAAATTTGTGTTTATATTGATTCTTTTGGTTGATAAACTTTTTCTGATTAAAATAAGACTGAACATGATATATTTCCAATCCCTTATAATTAAATGCAAGCGATTAAAGAAAGAAAATATTTTGGAAGCCTTTGTAAACGAACTGTTTGCGAGCTGTTCGTGACCACTTTGCAAACATTAACCGAAAACTCGCTATCGAGAAGTAGTTTTGTTACTTCTATAGGTGTTTGCGAACAGTTCGTGAAGTGTTCGCTCCCGGAGCGGTAAGTTGGAAAACTTCAAAGAAAAAAAATGTATACAATGTAACTGATCCGCTGAGCCATTGCGGTGACGTTGTCCACATTCTAAACCCTAAAATCCAAAGTATCCCCCATTCTCCAAATGTCTTAACACATGCATACCTCAATCGTTCTGTTGTCGAATCGCAGAGAAACAAGACTGGGTTCCTTTTTTAAGAATTTATTACTGAGTTGTTCTTTACACAAAGTCTCGCGAGCCGAATTAGAATCTGGCTTACAACTGTGTCTTTGGCTCTGGAAGGGCCTTCTCTCATACTAAAGGTTCTTGGTGGGGGGAGGGGGTAACCCGTTGATAGCGAGATTCTTAGAAGAAGGGAGCTTTTCCGAGATGGGGCCACGTGCGAGGCAGGTGGTTTTTCGAGAAGTCATAAACATTGCGATTTTATGGTTTTGGTTTTTCCGGGCCCGGTCGATTGTAACCTGATAGTAATCAGGTGGTTGTAGAATTTGGGAATGCATTCTAAAAGAATAGAAAAGTTATGAGGGGCCTTTCCCTGAATTGGGAAAAGAAAAAAAAGACACTAAAGATACTGATGTTTCTTAGGGGTTACACAACAGTTCCAACTTTGAAACGCATGCACGTGGCGAGGGAGAAAAGTATTATACATTGTATTATACATATTATACAATAGATTTTATAGATTATTATTATACACATATTGTTCCGTCAAGCAAACGGAATTGTAT